CAGCCGTCTGGAGCGTTTCTTTACCCGGAAGCATCGCCTAATGGACCAAATCACCTCCATCACAGCGGAACGGCTGCTGTTCAGCCACACTGTGCAGATGGTAAACCGACAGAAAAGTTGGATAATTGAGAAATAGAGGAGAACATAGGGGGAAATTGACCAAAGAATCTTTATCAAGGTGCTGGTTTGGCTCACCAGGGTTGAGTAGGCAACCCATATGCCGTAATATTATTGTAGAGGCCTGGGTTTGAATCCGGCTTGTCTTGTCTTTCCCCTACTTTCTCTCCTAGCTTTCCGGTCAGCTCTTAACTGTTCTGCCACATTAAAAGCTTAACAGCCACCCCCCCCTTTGTGTGGTTAGCATTTGACATATTATTTAATATAATATTTTACTCAAAACAAGATCAAACCTTTGACCTGAGCACTCTGTCTTCTCAGGTTCAGGCTGCTGCACTGGATGAGATGTTCCACCAGGGGGAAGCATCGGTCCTGCGCTACCACAAAGCTCTCTTACTGATGGAGGGCCTGTCTCTGCTGCTCACTGAACAGGATGACATCATCAGTGTTAGCAAATGTAAGTATCACCGTATCACAGTAACAGAAAATGTCCCCACTCAACATCAGCAGCTAAGAACCACCATTAATTCAGGAATGTTCCTCGAACTAACACTGTCATCGGTGGGAATCTGTGTAGATAAATTCAAAGTTTTTCATCGGTCCTGTGGTAATAAAGTCAAGTATGATAAGCTGCTTTATCATGACTTGTGCTTTTTTTTCTTTCCCTTTGCTTTGTGTTTGCAGGTAAAGAGTGCATTGAACGGCGCCTCACAGCTTTGCAGGCAGGGCTCTGTATATGATAGCCCTGCACTATTTTGGGGAATGTGGAAAGTATGACAGTCGTTTGCACCCCGCACATTACTAACCAAATTTCCACACGCCTCTCATGGTTTTCCAAACACGTGTTGGACGTAAAGAGGATTTTGCTTCCGGCTCTGAAAATGCCAAGAAGACTCCCCTCACTTCAAGTATCGCATTCGGGAGCAATTATTTCCAAGTATTCACAATAGCCACATATGGTACTTATCTAAACGCATAGCTTTTCAAGATCAACAGATATCCTTGCTATGACCTTGCAGTGCGCGACTATAGACAAAATGGTCACACAGGATCACAAACTGGAGGGGAAGTGCTGTGGACATGTGCTGATTTAAAAAAATAAAAAAGTTGGCTTGTCCGACTGTCATCCTCATCAAATCTACATCTATTTTATACCCCTTGTTTGCTTTCCTGTGTTGTTTGTGTTCTTTTTTTTTTTTTTGCTTTTTTTTTTCCAGCTTTTTTTTCCCTCTTTGGGGGTTTATGTAATTATTTTCTTGCTGACGGGAAGTGTACAGTATGCGGCATTACTACAACTGGTGACCAGAAGTGCACACGCACTGTTTCAAAACCGTTGCCAAAATAACTTTTTTTTTTTCTTCTTCTTTCAAAGTTTTGTTTTTTGTGTATGTGTGTTTGCTTTAGATTAACTTTAGGTAACTAAACTGCTATATAGAAGAAGAAAAAACTGTCTGACACTTTAATGATTCTATACTTGCTTAATATCAAAGACCATGCCTTTTTGCTTGCACCGTGCGGTGTCGAAGGGATTAATTTGATTCGTTTTCTAAAAGGTGGCTGGTATTAAGGCAGAGAATGGGTCCAGAAAACACTCGTTACCCAGCGCTGAAGCATGGGTATAGCTTTTCATTCAGAAGGGGCTGAACGTGGTCTCTTAGCATCTTTGATCACAATCATGTTAAAAATGCTGCAATAACCTGGACTATATTCTTCAGGTATACAGAAGCTTAGGTGCTGCTGGGGCTGGGTATGCCTTCACATGAATTCCACTTTTTTTTTCTGTCTTTTAATCTTTTATCTGTCAACTCATTTAGCAAGTATAATCAAATCTGAATGTAGGGGCTGTCTGGAGAGAAACAGCATTAAAATTAGACTGAATGTTAGATATTTAACATTTAGGCTGATCTTGGGGCTGAAGTCTGAATGTTTTTGCACTGTTAAAGTACTGTACAGACAGACCGTGAGTGGAACATGGTAAACGTGTCCAGTTTTTGTAGATACTTTGACTTGTTTATGACAGGAGATCTGCTTATATACGTTTTTAATGCAGTTTTAGTTGTAATACAGTTACTGTCAAAATATAATGTTAGATGTGGGAGTGTTGACAAAGACATGATATAAGCTATGAGAGAGTTCTATTAGAAGAAAATGGAAAAGAGATTTCTTTACACTGAAAACAAAAAAAATGCATTGATTGTGTTTGTGCTTTATTTTATTGTAGTGGGTAATGTTTTTTTACCTTTTGTTTGACTTCTGAAAAGTGACATGTTGAAGTGCTAAGATTTGTGTGGGGTTTTTTTTTTTGTTTGTTTTTTTTACATTGACCTTTTTGACATTCATCCCAACAACCTAAAATGCGGGCCAGCTGAAAAATCTCCTTCAGCTGCTTTAAAAAAAAAGTTTTTAAAGAAGAGTTTGTTTGCATGCTTTGGTTTTGTGAAGCAGTGCTGTTTGTGGTGCAACGGATGAAGCTGTGACACAGCTCCGTAACATGGGAAATATTTTAATTTTGACTCCAACTGAATGCGTGGATGTGGTTAGCTAAAAGTAAAATGCCACTTTGAGGAATAAAAAGTGGCACATCTAGGACCTGTAGTACATTCTTTCCCCTAACGTGTAATTTCTCAAGCTTTTACAAGTTAATGAAGGTGGGGTTGTGTGGTCACGTCTGAAGACAGTTTACAGTGACGCCTTTCAGCAGAAAAGAATGGAGGAGAGATTCATCAACATATCCTTTGTGTGCATTTTCTTTGTTGCCCTTTGTCAAGTTTCTGTGAGATGCAGATTTTGCTCTACATGTATGCAGATGTTTAAGTGTACATTCCACAAATCAAATCATCCACGGGCTCCCTGTCTCTGCACTTGCTGCTCTGTTCAGATCCCTCGTAATTTAAAAACAAAAACAAAACCTCAAGCATGTGTCACTTTTTACTGTCCCATACAATCATAAAGATGTTTGTCTCCAGTAGGACTCAAAAGCACCATGAAGACGATGGGTGCAAAACTCGAGATGCCTAAGAGAGTGCAAATGAAGAGTAATTTTTACTTTGGTGCACTTGATCAGGAAACCTGTCACCTATTTGGTTAATTTGTTTTGTATGTTTGCTGAACAACGTACCCAAATGATTTCTTTTTACACTTTTACGTTACTAATTCTGTAAAACTTGTAAATATTGTAATTTAAGTTATTGTTGTTGGCATGGAGAGAACAGCACCATACCACCTATACATTCCCAAAGACAAGGCCTTCAGCTCAGTCATCCACATTGTCTGTTTAATGTTGCAAAAGCATTTAAATGTTGTCATATCCATAACAGACACTAGCTCAGTGTCCCTGTGTGTGATGTAATATTTACTGTTTGGAAGCTACATCATGAATAAAGTGAAAGGAAAGATCATTAACTGTTGTGGTGACTTGTTTTACTTGAACTGAAGCTTTACATGTGTATTCTTCAACTAAATCGATTCGGGTTTAAAAACTTGGCATTCTTTACTTGCTTTTCAAGACTACTTTTATTAGAAGGCCCCCTGTGTTTAAGAGGCTGGCAGTGCAAGAGGGACTCTGTGGCTTTTGACCTATTTCTCAGCAAGTGCCCCTCAGTAGCATCTTATGCAACCTGTAAGCATAAAAGGAAACAAAAAAAATATTTTTGTATTTTGCTATAATTTACCAGCACAGAATAAAACCATGGGAACATCTCAGTTTTATTTCAATGCTTCCCTTGTAGTGATAACAGCAGAGTTAACCACCTTCACAGTGACAGCTACTGCAGGTTTACAGAAATGAAAACAGCCACCTCACTAATGGTTGAGTCTATAAACCACAAACACAGTGACGTAAACCATCATAAACCACGATCCTCTTAACAGAAACTGGTGCTACCAAAAATGCATGATGGCACCTTTTTCCTTTGCAGCTTTCAGTCATGTGTGAGTGCTCTCAGTTAAAATGAAAATTTTAAAAAAGCTTGAGAACCACCTTTGTGAAAATTTAACCCACCTTTAAGGGCATTTAGCAGGAAGAAAAACATGGGTAGGTTCTTCTAAACAGACCTAACCCAAAGTTAGTAATATCTGGTTTAATATTCGCCTAAAACTTTAGAACATGATGCTCTACACATCATGAATTTGGGGTTGACGATGCCCCGGATACCTATCACTCCTTCTTCCCCTTGGAACTAAATACATGTGATTTTTCATCTTTAGCTCAGAATCATACACACGCTTAAAACTTGCAAACTGTCTACAGGTGATTCAATTATAAAATAAATAATTTTATCTCGAACTCAATCAGGCTTTCAAAAACTGGGGGTGGTTATGAGAAGGTGAGAACCACCTTCAAAAAAAATTACCATTTGTTTATTAATAGTTGAACAAAGTTTCAATGCAACTCAGTTATATTTATAAATAAACATAGCAAACAATACAGTGAGTTTTGATATATGGAAATATACAATATAAAATGGTAAGGCAAAGAAAATCGGCAAAAACACATGCCAATCACAAAAATATCAGTCTAATCCTTTAGGGAGATTTTTAAGTAAAGACGACTAAACAGCGAATTTTAAATGTTTTCAAACTTTCGGTTGGACGTAAGATCTGCCTTGGCCAAGCGTTGTAGCCAAGGAGACGGAGCTTCTATTTTTTTTTAAAAAAAAACAAAACTTTATTTATAGCAAGGACCGATATTAACATAAACTTCGTAAATACATTTAAAGTACAAGAAAACCGAAAACAAATCATTGGGGGATACATAATAGCGAAACACCATTTTTTAAGTTAAAGATAATAAATACAGTTTTAAAAACAGTCTTGAATATTATGTAGGACTTCTACATTTAATTTGAGCAAAAACAAATTGAAACTAGTTAAAATACATATTAGAAGAGGAAATAAGATAAAAGAAAGGATGCGCAGCTGGCCTGAAAGATCGACGTCAGGGCTGAAAAAGAAAAAAAAGGAATCTTGGTTGTCACGGCAACGTTGTGTATGAACGAGCGCGTGCCAAATGACCGTGAAAATAGTATAAGTTATAAGTAGGAGTACCTTTAGCTAACTTGTCTTCACTGGAAAACAATGGGAAGGGTGAAACAGCGAGCTATTTCAGTCAAAGAAGGCCTGAAGTACTAAAGCCGAGAGCGATGTCAAGTCATAACCTGCCACCGGTGCGCCATTTGCCACACTGGACCAGAGTAGGGCGGCTAGAGAAGCCTTGCTCGCTACGACGCTTACCGGCTAACCCTGAACAGCGGCTCCCACTACCTGTTATCAAGCCAGCGGGCAGAGCAGCGGCAGAGACGTCCTGTCAGAGCGGCAGCACAGACCTCCGGGTCGCATCACTGCAAAGAAACGTCCAGTTCCTACAAGAACAGCACAACGAAACACTGAAGAAGCTCCACGCAGAGATAGAGAACCTCAGACGGGAGAATAAAGGTGAAGAAACAGTGCATTCATAATTCTTGTATGTGTAAGTTAATTATTTGTAAAGGCATAGAAGTCAGTGACAGCAGTCCTACCATAGGTCTTTTTAAAAGAGTAAAAGCAGAATGCTTTGTGGAATGAATGAAGTAAGCAAAAGTAAGTTTCCACGTGCCTTTAATTAATGCTCTGATTTGGCCTTTCTGAGATTTTTTAATAGTGGATGGTTAGACAGATAGAGCACTCAATTATTCCCTGTGGGGAATTTTGAAGGGTTGTGGCATTCAAGAAACCACCCTATTTCATGGCTCAAAAAGTCAAATAATTATCTAAAGAATTCAGGTGACGTCTGTGACTCCTGTCTCCTGATAAGGTGCCGGCAAGACAAGGTCAGGCTAGGTATGGTGGACGCATGGCAACTCCAGGGTTTAGTTTTAATGATTTCTCAGTGGGAGGTGGACAGATATCCGGTGTCACTTTGCAGAGCCAGCCGCATGCTGTTCCATATAACAACATGTCACCACCCACCAGGAGACTCCCCGGTCATCCGTCGTTGCATCCTTGCTGCAGCAAGGCCTATTTTGACACGTGGGTTGCTTACTGGTTGTTTAAGCCCACCTGCAGTGTACAGTACATTAAAGTTCTGTTGTTATGGATGTTGCAGAGTTGAAGTATAAGCTGATAATGGAGCCTCCTAAGTCAAGTAGAAAAGGTAACATGTTTAAGCACATGTAATGACTTATTGGGTTTTCATTTAGGTGAATTTCAATGTGCCACCTAAACTTAATGTCTGATCCTTCTTCTTCTATGAGTTGCACACAGTCGACAAAACTGTAGACCACCCACTCAGGGCAGTCAAGCCCATACTGGACTGTACGTGGAGGAGCCACTGCAGGACACGAGACTCTTGCAGGACCAGGCTCTCAGGTGAGTGGTGGTCCTTTTTCAGCTACTTATCTAGCTCAGTATTTACAAAGTGTGGTTATATTTCATAAATGATCTTAGTTCCCCCCCCCCCCCCACACCCCCAATTCAAGCTCTGTGTTTTAATCACTTTACAGAAAAACAAGATGTCAGATGTCTCATATTAGGTAGTGATGTAGGTACACAAGTATTATGGTGCATGTTAAATTAACACTATAAAACTAGAAAAATTCATGAGGATATGAACGTGAAGCATGTAAAGAAGCAAAAGCCAGTATGTAATTAGTTATTTGTTGGTCTGGTCTGCAGTCTGAGCCCTTTGATTTCTGGAATATGTGCCTTTTTACATGTCTATAAACTTCTTGACCTGTTAGTACCAGGTTGGATCCCCTTTTCCCTTCAAAATTGCTTCGATTCTCAGTGGTATAGATTCAACAAGATGCTGAAAACATTTCTCAGAGATTTATGGTCCATATGGACATAAAAGCATCCATGATGTGAATCTCTGTTCCACCACATCCCAATAGTGCTCAATTGGCTTTTGATCTGGTGACTGTGGAGGCCATTTAAGTACAGGAATTCACTGTCAGGTTCAAGAAAGCAGTTTCAAATGATCTGAGCTTTGAGACATCATGAATTATCCTGCTGGAAGCAAAGTGGGCCAGTGAATTGAACCTAGTCCCCTGTCTATGAGGGGGGTGAGGGGAGTTAACAACCAGGTATTCTCAACCTAAACTGCCTTATACATGTTATACATCGCCCTCAATGACATTGTCTCATTGACTTGCAGTAGCATTGGAGCAAGCACTGAAATTCTGGATTCAGCCAGGCAGGACCATGGCACGGAGGCCAATGGGCGCCTCATCACTTCACTGCAGCCTCTCCGAATTCATAGCAGTTCCTCCCAGCCCCCACGGGCCCCCACACTACAGGAGTGTGAGGTCATCATCCGACAGCTATATAATGCTAACAGCTTACAGTCTCAGGAGGTAAGTGCCTGAAGGGCAATGCTTAGCTATTCAGTGTTTTAGTAGCTCAGTTTGTTGTGGCTTTTAAAATAGTTACTTAAAGTACAACCCTGTGTCATCTAGATCGTGCATGTGAAAGCACTGCTCAAAGACATCGTTTCAAACAAGAAAATCACCCCAGAAAACTACATCATGGCTAACGCCTACATTTCAGATGGAACTCGGTGAAGTGGCATTATCATTTTCATCATCAGCAACATACAAAAGCCTTCAAAGCCGCAAAATTATGATAACAGTTTCTATTTTTCTTTGTGTGTTTCAGCGGGTCTTTAGAAGAAAACAAATTACCAAAACTTGGCCTTCAGTCATTCCCAGAAAAACAGTATGTAATTTTGTCTGATTTTGTATTCTGTCATAGTGCACAAAACAGATTCCTCAAAGCCCTGTTGTGCTAATTTTCACAAAACTTGGTTGCATAATAGCCCAGAGCTGCCTTTTGCAAGAGAGATCGAGGTTTCTGAGTCAAAAAGAAAAAGAAAAGCCAAGCATGTTAGTCACCCCGAGTTAAATCCACATATCCTTTCCCAGGTGTGGAACATCTCAGTCTGGGGTTGTCTTCCCTGCCCTCAAACAGAGCCTTGGCTACAACATTGCAGATAGACAGAAGAGGTGCCGTGCTGTGCAGAGAGACCGTTTGAGAAGGGCTGTTCAGTGACAGGAACACAAATACCAGAGTATATTTCTGTGGTATATAATGAAATAAAGCATTTCTGATTGATGATGTTTTATGATGTCATAAAGTTGAGCAGGATAGAGTGGTCGCAGCAGGAATCGCACAACACTTAGTCAATGATGGCCCAGTTGGATTACCTCTTCCAGTAAGCCTTGCCAGTGTGAAGCAGCATGTCGTACGGAAGCGCCTCCCTTAAGTGGAATGCAACCATCATTAACACACCTGTGTGCTTCCTGTCATGGCATGTCAAAATGTTTGCTGTTCGGGAAAAAAACCCTATACAGACACGTCACGTTTATTGACAATTATTGCTCATAATGATGTGTAATATGGACAGATAACACAAATAATGCTCTATAAGGCCTGGATTTTTTTTTTAGTTTTTCTACACAGCAGAAGGACTGATTTCAGCTTTTCACTGGGAATATTTTTTTTTTTCAACCATTGAGTTTCAGGACATTTGGGGCTTGTTGTCACTTCACAAAAAAGCAAGCATAAAAGCACACTTTTTTCATAAAGCCACTTTTTTTGTCATTCAGTGTGCTAAGGAGCAGTTTAATGATTTTTACTGGCCAAGCTTTAGTATTTAATCATTTACACTTTGAGTTTAAGCATAAGGATGAAAGGATATAAATGTCCTCTGCACAAGACAGTGCTGTTCTTTTAAATTTTTCCCTTTCCGCCTGACTCTTCGGGATACTGTTCCTTTTAGTGGACTAATCGTGTGGAGAGTTATTTGCATGCTGAGTGTCATATTTGAGATATAATGACACAAAATAGGCAACAGGTGATTCTGCCTTAAATAAATGTCCTATTGTTATGTTAGCACTGGTTTCTAAGGTCATACACCACTGCAAACACTGGATTTGTCAGTTTAAGAGAAGTGAAACGTCACTTAGGTTTTGATCGCTGAAGATTTGCCAAAGTGCGCAGTTTACAGCGATAATTAGATATATTAAGAAATGTATTTAAAGCTTTGATTTCTTTGTTTATGTGGAGCATTACTTGTGTTTAATTAAGCCCAACTGCAGTCCTCTTTACATGGTTTATGAGTCATTTTCTGCTTCACAGGCTGCGATCCCTTTATTTCTTCTCTTTAGAAGAACTCTCACAGGCTCCTTTAGTTGCTGATTCATGCATAACATCTATATTGGACATGTATTTACAGTATAAACACTGCATAAAGTTGAAACAGAATAAAATAAACAAGCCGTGGTGTGCCTTTTTATTGAACCTGCTTGTCATATGAACGCTTCACTGAAAACAAGGAAGTTAAAATAACCAAAAGGAGAATTGGCCACTCGACAGGCCTGGCTACAGCAACGTTGTCAGTTCTCCTAAATTAGGCCGTGGTCTTGTATTAACTCTTCACTAACTGAATGAAAAAATAATTAGTGAGAACAAAAAAGTTTAGAAAGTTATGGTAAGACTACGAGCACGCAGTTGTCACAGGTAATGCTATGTGATATTGTAAGAAACAAGAGAAAAGTGTGGTTTCTTAAAGTTTTAGAAATGCTATGAGGAAGTGGCTTGTTTAAAAACATGTGAACCAAAGCAACAACAAACTGAAACATGAGGAAGTAATGAAGTGGCTGAAAAGTCTTTATCTGAAGCCTTTATTGTGAACCTGGTGTACCTGTAGAAATCTAGAAGTATTTAAAGATATCTATGGATATCTATCTATCTGTCCATTTAGTGGCATGTAAACAGGTTTCCCTTTACACCTTTACAGAAACCTGATTGGATATTCTAGGAAACCAGGCTGAGAGGTGAAAGGTGACTCATGCCATGGAGGCTGTAACAGTGAGTCGCTCATCTATATAAACCCTTACACTGGTCTAAAAATGCACTGACACTTTAACAGCAGCATCTCGTGCCATAATTACCAGTGTGCTGCTTGTCTGTTGTCAGTCTTCACATCAAAGCATGCTCAACTTTGAATTGAATGCCGGTGACAACGATCAGGAACGTGATAGGATGTTAAAGTAAAATATAGGAGAGGCTAAGTATTTCAGAAGTGAAGGCTGGGAGGGGTTTTGCCACACTTCCAGAGACTGCATGGATAGAGGATACAGAGATTTTATAATATATGGCAAAAACTTAAGAGGATCTTGTTCCTGTATGTCTGTCTGTGTGACCCTGGGGAGGATTTATCAAGGTAAACTGTGTGTTTGTGTTCTGGCACATGAGAGCAAGGTTGCAACTGTGCTCAGGAGCTTTAGTATCTATAATTTGTTCGAAATTAAAATAAAATAAAAAGCTTTTTTTAAGCAAAATTTACAGTCTCCGAGAAACTGACCTTTCCGACACAGGTCTAATCCTGCACCATGTAATCATCCTCTTCAAAACTTGATTTAAATTTTAATTAACTGCAGTTTGCATCACTACACTGGAATTCCTGTAACTTTCTCACAGGATACATAGTTAGTTACAAGCAGAAGATGGTTTGTAAAATGTGTAAGTTTCTTATGAAGTCTTAAGTGTTAGTGGTGTGAATGAATTGGGGGGAAGGGGCATTTATTTGCAGACTAATGGCTTACACACAATCCGACTCCCTGAAATGAAACTGTGGCAATGCTCTCTGCAGTGTCTTAGGTTGCGTCTTCTGCAGCCGAAAAATGAGCTGGTTGGAGAGGGGGCCTCTCGAGCCATAATTACTTTTCTTTTTGTTTCGCCTGTGCAAAGAACAAGGTCACAGGTTTTGTTCACTAGTTCCTTGTGCAGCAACTCATCGACCACCGATTAGGTCAAGGGTGGTTGTGTCATCTGTGCATTTAGACTGCAGGGCATCGAGACTGAGCTAAAAGGAGCAGCCATTCAAGGTTACTGTGTTGATGTGAGTTTAACAGAGGCCAAACATTTTATAAGCTATTGCAAAACCAGTTACAGGTGAGTTTTTGGGTTGAAGAACCAGCTTTTCTAGGCTTTGCTGCATGTGTGCTGACCTGAAGTTATCCATTTTAGTATGGTGGGGTTTTGTAGCAGCTGGTACTTCAAAAGAGCACTTGAAGGACTGTGGAACTGCTGCTTAGGTAGTCAAAATGTCACGTTTCATTACGTTTGGACCTGTAGTATCGCTTAACCTTAACCTGCCACACAGACAGACAACAGAATCTATTGATAATGGGATGATGGCAGACATTGCCTTTTGCGTACATCCACTAGATGGTGATGTTTGTGAAGAAACCTTCAGTGTGCATCTACATATAAGGTTAGACAGCAGGTCAGATAAAGGTACTGTATGTCTCACCCAGCAAAATCCCACAAAACCCATCACTTAAATGAAAAGTTGCCCTAGTTTTAAATGCATCAAAGCATGAGGTTGAAGCCAATATGGTTCATGCATATAATATAAGCCTTTTTACCCATAATTCGAAGTAAACTAGTCTGTTTTTGTTTCTCTTTCCAATTAGTTGCAGCACTGCATCTTTGTGGAAATGTGGGAGTTGGCAGGCTTAAGCCATTAAGTCTCGGTGGGTGCAAATCTATTAACATTCAGACAGTGTTTCAGTGATGAGAGCTGTTCTGTGCCAGCTGTAGCCTCATGAGGCACGGCCACTGAAAGCTCAGTCACCACAGGGACAGAGCTACTTCTTTACAGATCCTGCTTTTATCACTGAGCAAAACTTGTTCTGCTTGGCTGAATGGCTTGCCGCACTCTGCTTGTGTTCTCAGATGCATTCTTTCTCTTATATTGCATTCTTCTTCTTCAGAGACACTGCCCCTTGCATTTAAATGCGCGCTCTCTCTGCAGCATATTCTGTTTTGGATTGGGTCATTTTGGGTGAGCTCCAAATCGATTTTTCACAGTTCGTTGCCAGATAATACTTATTATCGAATGAATGAAGGGGAAGTTAAATAACACCAGGAAATGAAAATAGGAAATAAGTACAATTTTATTCTGGTCGTATGAATAAGTTGTTGACTGAGCAAATATACTGTACCTTTGAGCTGCGGTTATGTGGCTAAAAAAGTATATTAAAAACACACGAGCTGACCACTGACTTAAAGGCACAGAACACAAAAAGATCCGAGACAATCATTAAACACAGTACTAACATAAGAACACGTTGTTCGGCAGACATCTGACTTTTTTTTATTCAGAACTATAGCTTATTTTATCTGTGAATCATTTTATAGAGTAATGTTTCTATTTCTAGAAAAAAAGCTCAATCATGATGCTTCTCTTCACACACCTACATAACTACCTGTCAAAAGCACATATATTGGCACTTTCTACTCCACAGTACTTCAAAGCTGCAATAGATCGCAAAAAATATGCTCCAGTGTTGTACGGTAATAGTAGTTAAATTAGCCTAGATTTAACAGAACCAGCTGTGACTGTGAAACACTGCCTACACATATTTCCAATTAAGAATCAACTAATGACAGTGTGGGCATTTAAACTGAAATAACACCTCGCTCTCATACACATTTAGTATGTTACAGCAGCCTTTAACATCAGTGTTGCCTACTTAAGACCTGACTGCTTAGCCTCTGCTGGATTGGTTTAGCATTTATTTGAGGTTTAGCCATACTAAGTTGTGTTATTATATTTTTGAGTCACACGCTGATTCCCTTTGAAGTTTTGAAAAGCAAACATCCAATTAAATGACTACGTCAAAGCAGGAACACTGAGTAAAAACACACTTGTATCTCGACCTGCTCCACATTGCTATATGCACTATATTCCCGAGACGATGGAACAGCAGAAGAATCTATCAGCAGAATGCTTCACTGAAATGACTGACACCTACTCTCGCGGAGCTAGGGGCTGTCCGTGGCTTCGCCAACCGCCCACCTCCTTCCTTCACTCCCCCCTCCCCTCTCTCTCGCTCCTGCCGTCAGTGACGCGCTGATAGAAAGCGGGACCTGCCCTCCGGTCGCCATTTTTCGACCTCAGTACTTCTGGTAGCCTGTGCTAGTGGGGACGAGCGGAAATAAGGGAAAGTATAAAATAAAGCAATCGTTAAGCCGAGGTCCCTCGTGAGCGGTCGGGGATGCACGCGACAGCTCCCGTAAACGGTCGTGGCTCCTGAGATGCA